CCTCTGCCTGTCTCCCGTGACCCTTTCAATCCCCCAAAACCGAGCCGTCCAGGTTTTGCACCCTCTCTCTATCCCTTAATGAACCATTCGTCTAAAACTAACTTCCCTGATTCTACCTTAGCCAACTTTCCCTGTTTGCACCGGGTTTCCTTGAACCATCTGATACCAGTTCCCTTATTCTTTTCCTTGCTCACCTTTCTTCTCCGGTCCGCCAAAATTGACCTTCGGAATAGCTTTGCAAATGTCGTTCTCAGCTGTTTGTTTGTCCATTCTTTGCTTCTGAAGACCCTGTCGTTTCTTTCCTGCCATATAACCGCAATGGCCACTGCCCTGGCTGTCTGGGCCACATATCCCCATCCCTTGGAGATGCTATGGCCCTCATGAACTCCCCCCAACAGCACTCATTCTCTGGTCCATGGGAAAGTTCCCTCTGTGATCTTTTCCCAAAACTTTGTCCACCATTTCCAGAGTCTTGCTGAAGCCGGGCAATCCCACCACAAATGGACTGTGGACTCAAATGCCCATTCGCATCTGACACACTTCAGATCAACTTTCACTCCATGCTCTGTCAACCACACCGCCGACGGGGTTGTTACCATTGAAAGAAGCCAAAGGATTGATGCCTGTCTCTGACACGGAAGCAGCTTGAGTTGTTCCCAGCAGCTCTTCAGGGCTCTGTCTATCTGTGTGGGGTCCATTCCTAATAACTGCATCCATCTTGTTCTGGCCACTACCTCCGGATGTTTCGACAGAATCACCATTTTGTATCCAATCCTCTGTGTGTAATTCAATAGGCATACATTCTCTCCCCCTTTCCCTTGAGCTCTTCATTCCCACCTCGCCGGGTCTGCTCTGCATAGGAGCACCGGTTTTCCTCTCGCAAATAGGACCTTCCTTCCCCCTGATTCTGATATCACACGAATCTGTGACAGAGCTGATCCCAGTCTCGGTGTCCCTACTGCCTTATCTGTCAGTTGGCTGCCAATTGCTGTCATCTTCCATCCTTGAAATATCCGCTTACCGTCCGGCTGGTAGTTAATCAGTTCCCGCAGTTTTGTTTCCGAATCCTCCTCTGTCTCCTGAATGTACCATGTTCCTGTGGGGTCTATTGATTCTGACAACAACTTCTCTTTCCACTCCCTTGGTATAGCTTCTACAACTGCGCTCAGACGCTCTTCCACTTGTCTCAGTTGGCCCAGCTTATCCTTTAGCTCCTCCGCTGTCTTCCAATCCTCTGCGAACCCATTCCATATGTCTCGAACTCTTACCACCACCCTCTCGATCCATTACCTCCCGAAACTCGACTGCTGTGTGTCCGCGGGGAACCATTGACCGTCCCCTGCCCGGATATTCGGATTCTCGAATATTGGTTGTGCGAGGATTTCCACTTTCGTTGTCGGGTGGACCCAAAAATCTGGCGTTAGCTTCCTCCATGCTTGAATAATAGTTGCCCACAATGCTGATTTCACTTTCCTCCTTTGGTATGAGAACAGGAAAATACAAGTCCACATGTCTTCTGTTCTTTTGAGGTTCCATTCCTTAGCTAGGATGGATTCTGCCAGGAATACCCAGTGTGGGACAGGTTCCTCCAGGCAAGCTTTCACCACCCATTTGACCAGTAAAGCCTCGTTCTGTTTATTTGGGTCTGTCATGCCCAAACCTCCTTCTGTTCTTGGTAAACATAGCATTTCCCACGCCACCTTCGAAATGAACCCGTCTTGTTCCTTTGCAAAAGGTTTCCAAATAAAGCGTGCTGCCCTTCTTCTGATCAATTTGTAGGTGGTATTACCTACCTTCCTAATCGCTCCCACAAACCACAGAAGGGTGAATAATGCGCCATTCAAAACCAGCGATCTCCCAAAGATAGATAAGTGCGGTGCTTTTCCCCATGTGGCTAATCGATGCAAGGATTTTTGTAGCAGCAGATCGTCTTGAGTGGCTGAACAGTCCATTAGCGAAATCTGCACTCCCAGGAAGCGCCCTGCACTACCTTGTTCAATCTTCTCCATCCCTCATTGGACCTGCAGTTCGAAGGTTTCAGGGAGGAAATACGCCAACTTGTGCCAGTTGATGGCAGCTTCGGATAATTCTGCAAATTCATCTAGGCAAGCTTTGAGAGCATTCAAAGACTCCAAAGAGTTCTCTGAGACCGCACATAGGTCGTGTGCAAGGGCCTTCATCTTGTAAGATGTCGGCCCTGCAGGCATACCTCTAATTTGAGGATGCTTACGGATGTTGTTGAGAACTACTTCAAACTGAACTGCAAACAAGAGGGGTGCCAGTGGGCATCCTTGTCGCAGGGACCTGGACAATTGGAATTCCTTCGAGACCTGTCCGTTTATAATTACAGTTGCAGAGGAAAAGGTATACAATGCTTTAACCCAGGAGATAAAATTAGTCCCGAACTCCGTCAAGTCTAATGTTGATAAGACGTACGACCAGTTCACCCTGTCGTATGCCTTTTCTAGATCTAGGAGTAGGACAGTTATATTCAACCCTTCATCCCGAATCATCTCAAGGGTCTCTACTGCAGTGATGATATTGTCGAAAATTGATCGGCCTCTTACAAACGCTGCCTGGTCAGCATTGACTAAGTCTGGCAAGTATTTGCCTAGTCTCCGAGCCAGAATTTTCGCTAGTATCTTGTAAGATACGTTCAGGAGAGAAACTGGCCTCTAGTTCCTAATTTCCGACCGATCTCCTTTTTTAAACAACATCGATATGATCCCACTGCACATGCTTACAAACAATCGTCCTCCGATCAGAACTTGGTTGTAGATTTCCACCAAGTGACCGCCTATAGCCTCCCAAAGTTCTACGTACAACTCTGTCGGTAGTCCATCATTTCCAGGTGCTTTGCCTTTCGCCATTGCCTGAAGTGCTTCGTGTGCCTCCTCCACCGTGACCGGTCGGTCTAGGTCCAGTCTGCCCTACGGAGACAGTTTGATAGTCGTGTTTACCCAGTGCATGTTTCCTTCATGCAAGTCTGTTACCACATCTGCCCCTTGCGTGCGAGATGTTAGGGTGTCCCTGTAATACAGGGCTGCATAATCACATAGTTCCGTCAATTCTTTTGCTAGCGTTGCCTCTCTGTCGAATGGGTGTTTTAATTCTATCATGGGTATTGACGCCCTGCTCGGTGTCAGTTTTTGAAACGACTCTCTAGACATGCGGTCATAGACCGCCACGCCTTTGACTTTCAACCTCTCTGCCCAGATATCCGATTTTTTTATCTGAATTTCATCCCACTCCTTGAGCAATTTTGCTTTTTCCCTCCCCCATACCACATTCGACATCGGGTGCGCTTCCATCCTAGTCTCTGCATATTTTACCTTTCGTTTGATCTCCCTCTCTTGCTTTTTCCTGTTGAAATCCAAAATTCGTGAAAACACATTAAGCAAGTTGGTAAACATGGCGTTTCCGGCATCCCACCATTCACCTTTTGTCGGGTACAAGGCCTGTGCTTTTTCCCAGTCTTCCCAAAACTTCCTCATTCATTCCTTCAGTCCCGGATCCTCAAGATTTTGAACGTTAAATCTAAACAACCCTTTTCCCCTTCACATTCTTTTTGTTGAGATGTTGAGGCTGACTGGGTCATGATCCGACATTGGGTGTGTATCCTCCCTCACGTCGCATACTACATTCCATAAGGCTTCCGAGATGAGAAAATAATCTAATCTGCGCCGTATGGTACCTACTCCCTGTCGTGGATTCGAGTTCCACGTGCATCCCCGTCTGTCTGGGTGGCTCAGTCTACATGGATCAATTAAGTTCAGTTCATCCATAAGGCCCAACAACGCTACCTTATATTTGGATGTAGTCTGCCCTGTCTCAGCTAAGTCTAGTGAGAGGTTCCAATCGTCCGTCACGATTGTACGTTCACTTTCTGGCACCACGTATAGTAATTCTTCAAAGAAGGTTGGCCGTTCTCGTTGATCTGTCGGAGCATAGATTGATACTATCACCCATTCTTCCTCTTCGATTAGTAGCTTGATCCACGTCCATTAAAAATTAATAATAACTGCCTCCAACTTCCTATGAATTAAAATTCCTACTCCTCCCCTAGTCTCTTGTGCCGAGGACCACAATTATGGTCCGTCCCACCAATTTCCCAGTTCGTTCAGTTTCGACTCCCCCAACTTCGTTTCCTGAAGGCATACTATCTGTATTCCTTTCTCATGTATCCACGATTTCAACCTCTCCTTCTTAAATTTGCCTGACGTATCCCCCAACCCTCTCACATTCCATGTCGCTATCTTTAATTTACCCATTTCCTCCCCTGACCCCTGTTTGTTGGATCGAGGGGGGGGGCTGCGAGTCTCCTGATCTCTGCGGTCCGTTTCCTGTCCTCCCGAGCCAGGGGCTCGTCAAGTAGGAGCGAAGGAATTGGGATAACAATTTCTTATCGTTTGGGAGTTTCGATTCTATGTTCACTAGAAGTTCCGCACTCCTCATCGGTGGGACTCTGATTCGACAGAGCTCCTGTCTCCTCTTCTCTATGATCCAGTTGATGGGAGCAGTCTCATACCCTCTTTTTCTAAGAGTTCGATTTGGCCGTTCGCGAATCGCACATCCATCAGAGGGATGAAGAATTTGAGCTTGTTACCATTTTCAGGGTTATCCACCAGCAGTCGGGGCATGAGCACGTCCGCTACCAATCGAAACATTAGCCTGTCTTCGATCGTTGTCCGGACGAGGTTTGCGATCGCTGTTGGCATCGGGGATTCCGGTGCTGGAATTGTAATTAAGTTCAGTGATGCGTCCGGCGCTGTCCACGCGATGAAGTACATAGTGTTTCTTACCATTGCGCAAAATAGCGGCATGATCCTTGACTCTATGCTGTCTTGTTGGCCTCGCCCTACCGTAATTGGGCCTCTCTTCCTTGTGGTCTTGGTCCCTGGAGTGTCGACCGCTCCGGTCAGCCCTTGAGATCCTTCCGATGTGGTCGATCCCGATCGCTCTGCTCGTACCCCCCATATACCCGAGGTAACACTCCCCTCTCTGCTGAGCCTCCTTTGTTTCCCAAGTGTAGGACGTCTATGTCCAGTAGACCCTCCTTCCGCCTCGTCTACCTCGTGTAATTCTTGGTCTTGCCGATGAATTGTCGCTGACGACACTCGTCCTTCATTTCGTCCGTTGCCACTTTCTTGTACTTCTTCCCCGCTTGTTCCCTCATCCTCAATCTTGGTAGCCGAATCCCCCCCGGGGGGCTGGCTGCTCCGTACGATCTGCCCCATCCGCCTTGGAGACTCGTTTCCACTATTCCTACCGGGATCATCCCCGGGGTTCTTGCAGCCGCATATGGCACGTTATACCCTCCCGAAGGGTTATCTCCCTCCTGATTTTGTTCCCCTTGATTGGTGTGAAGTTCTCCTAGTTGCATGCACGACATCCCGTACCCTCCTTGGTTCATCTCCTGATTTTGGAGTCCCGACGTCGGCCACGACCAGAAGGCCGAGTATGTACTCGGCATGCCCGGGGGAAATCCATGGTATGACGAGGTCGGGAGCACATAGCCTGGTCTTGAATGCGCCCTGGTGAGAACATCGGATTCAGATAATCTCGTGTGGCATCTTGCATATTTTCCTCCCTCATCCGCTCTTGTACCGGTTCCACCCCGCTTTAGCGGTCCTCTATACTGTTGTTGAGTAACCGACGCCTCTCGCGTATCTCCCTGGCCTGCTTGTGAATTGCTCTGTTGATTCTGATGTTGTCGGTTTCTTCGGAACTGCGCCTCTTCGTGGAAGAATGCTTTGCATCTTCTACATCTGGGGGTGTCCGATGACGCCAGATTAACGACCAACGTGTCTCCTTCGTAGGTCACCACAAATATCTTATCCTTCATATTTGGCCTCGCTGTCGGATCCAGGTCAAATTTCAAGTTTATCAGCGTTGGCTTTTGTCTGTCCGGTTCTGAAGGATACGTGCGTATCACTGGTCCAATCGCATCTCGAATTTGTGCTTCCAGGTAAAACATAGCGTCCAGTGGAACCCGGACTGCTATCACCCAGAAGGTTGATTCCTCCTCTTGCCTTCTCTGCTCCTTCAGTTGCGCCTTCGTCATCCAGGCCTTAAACTCCAACACGTATCTTGTGGAACCTAGTGTGATCTCGTCTCTTCCTCTTTCCAACAGCCACAACGCCACTGCGCTACTCTTCGCCACATACGATACCACATTCAGGCTTTCGACCTTCACCCTTCCCCTTCCAAACGTACTAGGGTCGAAGCTACCATCCTGTGTTCGTTCGTCTTCGTACGCTCTCACTACGTCGTCCTTCACCTTCTTCCGTAGGAAGCGTGCTCCTTCGCGGAAAATCACCGTAACTGTGTGTTCTTTTAGCCAGGCCACCTTCGTTCGGTCGACGTGACTATTCACCCTGTACGTGACCTCCCTTCCGTTCACTGTCTTTTCTCGTGGATCGATAGCTGTTGGGAGAATACCTTCGTCATAGCACAACCTCGCCAACTCTCTGATTCTGTCGTTGTCCTCTCCAATTGGTTGGTCCGGCACCGGTGGGGGGGAGCGAGCCCCCCCACTTTCCTCCTCTACCTACGCCATCCTTGTCTGGGTCTTGGAGCTCCAGATTTTGCCCTGCCTTCTCCACTCTCCCTATTTTCTCTGGCTTAAACTTCTCGGACTTTCTAATCCGTTCTTCTTCCTATTCTCCCCTCCTATCGTGTCTTTCCTTCCTGACATTCTTCTTAGTCTTCATTCTTCACTTCTCATGTTGGGTCCGGATTTCAGGCTTCTGCAGCCATCTCCTGCGTAGCCATCGCTACGACCTTCATGACAAAGCATGGGGTGACGGATATGACTCCTACGGGGATGCTATCTCGGCGGTAGCGCCCTCCGTCAGACAGCTCCTACTGTTACCGGCGGATCGCGCTTGGTCCGAGTGCGAAATTAGCGCTAGCGGAGGCGCACTAGTCCGGGCCCCGGACGCCCTTCAGGGGGCATTTTTTTTTTTTTTTTTTTTTAACCAAAATCCACTGCAATTATATTCCAAAAAGTTGGGTCGGGGTCCCACAATTCTACCTGGAGTCACAAAAGTTATCCTGGCAGCCTCAACCAGTTTAGCTTACGGTGTAGTGGCCGTACCCTGAAGGACTTTCGAGCCTTGGTCGACCCCACTGCGGGCCCCACTTGGCTCGACCCGCCCACGCTCACACTCAGGGCGCGGGTCGTTCGTCCCAGGGGCACCCCCACCTAGTGCTTTGAGATGGATGGGGGTGGGCCAGTTGCGAGAGGGCTTTACATTGAGGGATGTAGCTCCGCTCTCTCATCAAGATGGTAGCTCTTTGGCACTCGTGGCGTTTTCTCGATTCAGTTAAGTCCTTCCAATACGCAGGCAGTCCAGGGAATTCATTGAGGGTTTATCTTCTTACCGTGCGCAGGCCAAGCGTCATCCATTGGGCCACGCACCTTTTCACTAGGTTTAGTGGCTCGGGACAGCCCCGACAACATCCTTGGGGTTGGGCGGCGTCGTCCGGACCCCTAGCCGCTATATTTCTTTTGTGAGAGCCACTAGCATCGCATCACCTATCCAAGACCGCCCTTAGTCCTTTCAAAGGTCGCATTGCACATGAGAGAGACATTCCATGCAACCTCCACACAAACCAAGTCCACGCATCAGCCATCCACCCAAGCGCCCAGTCTCAACTCATCYCGCATCCMTGGCTTAARYYRAATCCAAGTCCTTTCCTTMGCCAATCTCCCACCCTAGTCCTCATCCGCGGGTCCRGCCCCGTCCAAACCGTCCCTAGCTACTCACCTGCGCAAGACCACACAAGACAAATGACCAAGTACAATYCCCATTGGGGTCAACACATCGCCCCCCTTCYCGCRATCCTAAGTTGTCTTTGCCTTCCATTTTCCCTTATGAGTTCCCTCCCCGTTCACACAGGCAAGCCATGCGATCGCCTCAGTCATGCATTCCGGGAGGATGGTTGAGTCAAACTGACCTCGTCCAAAATCAGCACTCCTTTTCGCTTTCGCAAATGCAGTCAATAGTCCCGTGTCCTTTCCTTCTTGGTGGCACAAGGGACCGACAACCCTTCCCTTGCCCTCGCTTTCCACCAAGTAAGGACTAAGTTCCTTTCCGTTCGTTCCCTGGCAACATAAGAAATGAGGGTAGAGGTTAGTCACATGCCATGGAGGGGAAGGGGAGAGGGAAGAGGTGAGGATTAAAGAGTTTGAAGGAATGAGAGAGAGAGAGAGAGAGAGAGAGAGAGAGAGAGAGAGAGAGAGAGAGAGAGAGAGAGAGAGAGAGAGAG